TGCAGCTCCATCTTGTACAGGAGAGAGATTTTAGCGTCAGTGTGACGTTTTCAGTGAACACTTTATTCCATCGGTGGGTAAGCAGAGCAAAAAGTATAAAGGGCTTGAAGTATATCAAAAAACTGGCTTGCTTCACGACAACTATTTTCAACACAGTTGACACCAACCAAATTCAACGAGTGTGCTGCGCACGGAATATAATGTATGAGTGGGTTGCTTTTCTTGAGATGAGCTTGCAGCCCATTATATTTTCCTGACATGTTGGATGCTTTGTCATAAGCCTGGCCATGGCAGTTTGAGAGATCCAGCCCCATATCAATGACCATCTTCATCACACAAGATGAAAAAAAAAAAAAAGAAATAATAAAAAAAGTTTTTTTTTTTTTTCATCTTGTCACTGAGGGCCCTCTTTACTCAAGGGCCCCTGGGCACTTGCCCAGGTTGCCCATATGGTTAATCCGGCCTTATCCCTTACTCATTTAGTTAAATTTGTAAATGCTTCAGATGTATTGCTTTTTTAGAAATCTACTTTTTTACAACATATTGTGGTGAAAAAGCATCTCATCATGAAGACGTTTCAAAAAAATTACATTTCCCTTTGCCTTGGACTTTGAGTGTCTTAAATATTATTTTTATGTCTCTCTGTATTTTGGCCTTTTGATAATAGATAGGCCCCCTTAGTGACCAAGTGTGTGAGCCTCCAGGTAAAGTTACTCAGGTGCAAGAGAAAAACACTTTACTGCAGAGCACAAACAAGGTCTGGACACTGCTGGGCTCCAAACGTTTCTCTCTTTAACATTTACCTGAGAAAGTATTAGAGATCTAAAGGTTGCCTTAAAAAAGTTTAAAAATATGAATCTCTTTTTGTAGCCTCCCCATGTGTCGGATAGATCGGCAACACCAAAGCAATGAGGAACAATTGATCATATTCTTGTTGAATTCAGGGGAGATTGTATAAACTATTGAGTGAAGTAACTACAGATAACTAACAATAAAAACAAGGCAAGGTTGCAAAGGGAGAAAAACAGAATAAATGCCAAGTTTAATTGCTATATTTGCAAAATCTGACTTATTTCTGTGCCGTTTCTTTAAGTTCTTGTGACTCTAACCCTCTGGCTACTTACACAAACAAAACATCTATATTTTCAAGAAAGATGTCAAGATTTTCTCGGAAATAGAGCTGTTTTCAACAACATCAATAGCAATCCTGAACACATAAAATAAAGTATAACCTCAACAAAAGATTACAAAGACTTTCCCCCTCTGTGCTGGTATATGTGTGTTTCTCTTGTGTTCAGTTTATAATGTTGCAACACATTGTGTTTAAGTGTGGGGTATTGACAGACAGACAGCAGTGTCTATTTGCTTTAGTCTTTAAGTCCGCCCTGTCAGGAGGCTAACAAACACACTGTAGATTTATGCTACTTTACTCACGTTGACCATTGAGTTATGACGCAAGACGTCTTACTTCTGTATCCATATGATGACTTCTGGATTACATTGTGTGATTAGGCTTTACAATGACACAATCTACTCGTATTACTCTCAAAAGAAAAACAAATACCCGCATTTCCCAGAATGTCAGAATATTTGATATATCATTATTATGAGACAAACTCACAGCAGCCATCTTAATCCAGTTTTACTTTTGATTTACTCAATCAAACAAATGACTAGATATTATTTTACTGATATTAATGTTGGGTCCTGTTGGAAACGGCAAAACATTTGGATTCTCCTTAAAGTCATACATTTGTTTTGGGGGGGGGACGACAATACTGTGTCACATTTGGTTCTAGAAAATTAACCTGATGTGAGTTCCTGATTGTGTTTCAGGAATGAACAAGCCGCTACGTTGTACGAGAACATCAGCCTGAATGAGCCCAGACTGATAAACCAGTTTGAGAAAGTCATCATGAACTTTACCAAAGAGATCAGACAGCAGAACTCAGAGATGGAGAACCTGGCACTTGCTATTAAACGGTGGGAAACACACACTCACACACACACACACACACACACACACACACACACACACACACACACACACACACACACATACACACACACACACACAGAATGCGTTATCCCGTAATCCCTCCATCTTCAGACACACACAGTGACAGACAGAATATAAAAAAGTGATTTAAAAACAATTACATTTAACAGTATAGTTTGAGTATTGTTGGAGCTGCAGCTTTCACAAATGTGTAGATCTACCTATATATGACATATTAATTGGAGCAAGATATTTTCATTCCGTTTTTAGGATGTAGGAAGTGTCAGTGTGCAGTATATATTGAATCGATGATGAGATTATCCTGTTACTGTTTTGTAGAGCGCAGGACCAAGCCTCAATGCAGCTCAGTGAAATGGAGGATGAGATGGACCAACGCATTCATGCTGCTGAGAGAAAAACGCAAGAGCAGGTAGGAAAAACCTGGAGATAAGACGTCAAAAAAACATGTATTTTGATGTTCTTTATAAATATCTGGCTCGTGTGTTTGTTTCTTTGTAGTTTCGGTATGTAAAAGTCATAGGCAGGATGCGTTTGCTCAGCTCATCCCTCATGTCAAACAAACGTACGCGGCTGTCAGATTACTCATTACATTATAAGACCTGCCTGCTAATCAGGAGTATAAATAACTCTTTGGATGCCAGTTATGAAACAGTGGATATATTGAGTTGCTGGAGAATGTTTTAGCTTCCAGTGTTGATAAGGCTGTTTATACTTGTGACGATAAGGCTGGGTTGTGTGGAAATAAAAATTATCATCGAAACAGATTCAGGCCTGGCCACGACGCTTTGAGAACGTCTCTGAGTGCTCCTGGCCATGGTCAACACGACCCTTTTTTCCTGGAATTATATGATGCTGGATGGTCAGTGTAATGAAAGCGTTAGACATTTCCTGGAATCTGGTGAAACACATCAAATCGTGCGGCGTGTGAAATGATAAGATTTGATAACAATGTTTAGCTTTCCACTACATAATATGAAAAGTAAAATAATTTATTTAACTTGTATGTTTATAGTCTTTCATCCTGTCTTTGATCCTGATGTTTCTTTAAAGCTTGTGCGTGAACATAAACTCTGTAAACTCATAAACTCTTATCACCGTGTGTTTGTTTAAATTTGTGTAAATTTACCTCAATGACTCAGCTTACCCAGGAGCTGCTGTTTGGTATGGGCCATGCTGTAACACTTAACAGACTTATATTTTTGGAAACTGTAGATACTGTAGAAAGTTGCTGATAGCAATTCCCTAGCAGCAACCTGCCTTGAAATAGTCACAAGAATTACATAACTGGAGAGAAAGCAAACACACACACACACACACACACACACACACACACACACACACACACACACACACACACACACACACACACACACACTACTACTACTACGTATAATAGTATACGTACTAAGTAA